GCCCAGCGGCCACGGTGGCTGCCCCTCTCAGGGGATCTCTTCAAGTGCCACCTTCCCCCTCCTGTCCCACTCCTTGCTTCCCTCCGGGGTGCCAGAGCCCCTGGCTACATGGGCCCCAGGAGCTGCTGGGGGCTCCAGAGAAGCTTGGGGCTTCTCTGCACGTCGGCCTGAGTCACAGTGAGAGTTCCAACGGTAGTTCGGCAGGAATACGTGAGCACCTGCTGTGTGCCAGGCCCTGGGCACTGGCACACAGGCAGGGGGCAAGACAGAATGTCTGCTGTCGTGGAGCTCGTGCTCCAATGGGGAGGCAGACACTGAACCTATATGTGCAATAGATGTCATAACAATTACATATAGTGGAAAGTACCATGAAGAAACGTGAGGCAGGAAAGGGAAATGGAGAGAGAGAGAGAGAGAGAGAGAGTGTGTGTGTGTGTGTATCCAGGGCTGAGAATTCTAAATGGAGTGAGAACATGAGATTTGAAAAGAGCCCCGAAGGTGAGGAAGCAAGCCTTGTGGCCATCTAGGGGAAGAGAAAGCCAGGCCAGGAGTACAGGCAGTGCAAAGGCCCTGGGGAGGAGTGGGCGTGGTTTGTTGAGGAACAGCAAGGAGGAGGGTGTGGCTGGAGCAGCGCCAGGGAAGGGGAGCCAAGCAGAAGCTGAAGTCAGAGGCGTGTGCTGGGGCCACATCATGCAGTGGTTTGTGGGCCATCGTGATGACTTTGACTTTGACTCCCAAGAGAGATGGGGGCCACGGGAGGGTCCCGAGGGAGAAGTAACATGAGTGACCTAACACACTCTGTGGGGGAAACTGAGGCACAGAACAGTTACCCGATCTACCAGAATCGGAGGTAGTGAGTGGAACCGCCATCAAAAAGCTCCAGGTGTGTCTGGCACCCGGGTCCCGGCACTTGCGTTTCTCGGGGCCCGTGGGAAGGTATCAGAGGCTGAGCTGAGGCTGTGAGGTGTGTCCCTCAGAAAGCTCGAGAAACCAGGGCTTGCCCTCATTTGCCCCTGCGGTCATACTGGGTACTGCTAATGAGAATCGATAGGGTGCTGCATCTGAGGTCACAGGGCGTCTTCCCGCCCTGTCCTCTGTGCTCCTCACCCCCCCCCACTGCCTCCCTGTGGGTGGTAACAGATGAGGAAGTGCGAGCTAACAACGAATGGGGGAGAAGATCCGATGTGCAGGGACAGAGAGGACTGCTGTTTTAAAAGGGGGCTTGGGGAGACCGTCACCTTCGTGGGCACTGGCCTCTGGAATGCATTCTCCATATCTCCCCCATGTCAGTGTTTGGCATACCGTAGATGCTCAATAAATAGTTGCCGAAGGAACATGGAGGTTTCAGGCCTATGGAGGGTACACTGAAGGCCCCTGGGCCCCTCCTCAGTTGAGGTATGACTGCCCTGTCTGACCAGGGTGGTGCTGAATTCGTGCTCGCGGCTGCCGGGCAGAGGAAGCTTCTCCAAGACAAACTTTGGTGAGGAAGGCTTGGGCTGCGGAAGAGGGAGGAGGGGACTATGTTTTTTTTGGGTGTTTTGGGGTTTTTTTAAGTTTCTTTATTTATATTATTCATTATTTTTAAATGTTTATTTCTTTTTGAGAGAGAGAGAAACAGAGTGCAAGCAGGGGAGGGGCAGAGAGAGAGGGAGACACAGAATCGGAAGCGGGCTCCAGGCTCCTTCCTAGCTGTCAGCGCAGAGCCCGACGCGGGGCTCAAACTCACGAACTGCGAGATCATGACCTGAGCCCAAGTCGGATGCTCAACCGACTGAGCCACCCAGGCGCCCCTATTTATTATTATTTTTTAAGTAAGTTCCATACCCAACATGGGGCTCGAAATCACTGCCCTGAGATCAAGAGTCACATACTCTACGGACTGAGCCGGCCAGGTGCCCCACATATGTTTTGGGTGCTTTGGTGTATGTAGGTTATACTTCAGTGAGAAGTTAAAAACAATCAAATAGACATATCTGGACCCCATGTGGAAGGATGGCTGGTATGGGAAGATGAAAGGCAAGAGAACAGTAAAGAGAACAGAAAGTGCAAAGGTCCTGAGGCTGGAATGGGCCCCTGGGACAGAGAAAGGTGGTATGACAGGACTTCCATAACAGCAGAGGCCTTGAACGCCGAGGCAGTGAGTCTGAGTTTTATTCCAAGTAGAGGAGAAAGTAACCTCGGTCTCCTCTCTCTCTCCTAGGTCTCAGCCCAGAGGGCACCTTCTGCAAACATGTCTGTGGACCCCTTATCCAGCAAAGCCCTGAAGGTGAGGATGCTGCCTCTGTTGTCCCTGTTCCCCCCCCTCGCTTCTGGCTTAGGCTGGCCCATCCCAACTGCCTCTTCAGTTACTGGCATCCTCAAGGGTGGCTCAGCAGGCTTCAGGTGTTCGTGAGGCCCCGGGAAGGGCCGTGGGCTGGAAAGCAAGAGGCCTGATCACAGGCTGTGTGCCCAGGGAGGTGGATGGGGGGGGGTGGGGGAGGGGGCGAGCAGGTCACTCAGTTTCCCCATGCGCTCCACGTGCTGTCCCCAGATCAAGCGTGAGCTGAGCGAGAACACGCCGCACCTGTCAGACGAGGCCCTGATGGGGCTGTCGGTGCGCGAGCTGAACCGGCACCTGCGCGGGCTCTCGGCCGAGGAGGTGACGCGGCTCAAGCAGCGACGTCGCACGCTCAAGAACCGCGGCTACGCGGCCAGCTGCCGCGTGAAGCGCGTGTGCCAGAAGGAGGAGCTGCAGAAGCAGAAGTCGGAGCTGGAGCGCGAGGTGGACAAGCTGGCGCGCGAGAACGCGGCCATGCGCCTGGAGCTCGACGCGCTGCGCGGCAAGTGCGAGGCGCTGCAGGGCTTCGCGCGCTCGGTGGCCGCCACCCGCGGCCCGGCCGCGCTCGTGGCGCCAGCCAGCGTCATCACCATCGTCAAGTCGGCCCCCGGCCCGGGCCCCGCCTCCGCCCCCGCCCCCGGCCCCGCCCCCGCCGCCTGCTCCTAGTGCCCGCCCCGCCCGGCCACGCCCATTCCAGGCCACGCCCCTCCGGCCCCCGCTTCCTTCCCAAAGTGCCTAAGCGTGGTCTCTGCCCCTTGGTGCCATTTCTCTGCAGCCACCAGCTCTTGTGGTGAACACATGTTCCCTCCCGAGCCTGCTGTCTTCCTCGTTGTAGCCCCTATAACCGGGACCCAATAGGTGGCCCTGGGGTGGGGCACCTTTGGTGAGAATGGTAGGGTGGGGTTGGCGCCTGGGGTCTCTTTTGGCGGAGAGTCCTGCCTTCTTGGACTGGGAGGATGGAATACAGAGCAGATTAGAGAAGGGCTGTCGGGGAGAAGAGGGCCACCCCTCATTGTGTAAACTGTTTGCTCAGATCGTGCCACGGCCCCGCCTCCCCCCCAGGATTTAGGACTATGTCCTCTCCTGGGGCTGAGAAGGGAAGGGCAGTTAACAGATGGGGACACCGTCCTCCAGCAGACATGCCAGTGCCCAAGGCCACCTGTGCTTAGTGGTTGAGCTGGAAAAGCTAGGCTTTCTTACTGCTGCCCCGAGATTCCAGCCAGGAGATCCCGCCGGGGGTTGGCAGGGGGCTTGTGGACACGGACTGGAAAGGGTGATGGAAGGGCCTCCCTGACCCGGGAGCCGCCTCTGTGAGTTAGGGGAAGAGAAGTAGAAGGCCAGAGAAGGTGATACAGATGGAAGAGATGGAAGGAGCTGGCCAGCCAAAGAGAAAGGGGACCAAGGAGGTGACCACCCACTGTGGCAGGTGGGAAGATAGATGCTCAAGTCCTGCAGCCAGGGGTGGGGGTCCTGAGAAGGGAAGGGTCCCACCCCTCCCCCTGGGAATGTCCACCGTGGCTTAGGGGCTGGCCACTGTCATTGATTGCCATTCTCCTGGGAAGCCCAGCCCCAGCCCCAACCCTCCCTGCGCCTCCCTCTCCCCCCCCCACAATACGGTTGTCCCTCCCCACTGTTTATTTATTGCACGAATCTAAGTTATTCTCCCCAGCCAGAAACCTAGCACCCACTCCCTGGGAAAAGCGGTGTGTGGCCCTGCGCTGGACTTTATATTTTATATCTGCAAATGAATCACATTTTATCTTATATTTAGGGAGAGCCGGATGGCAACGACCAAAAAATGTTAAAAAAAAAAAAAAAAAAAAAAAACGCAAAAAATTCGCCCGGCCCCTAGAATTTATTTATTTTCTGACTTACAGTAAGCGACTTATCCGCCTTCTGTATTTTGTAGACTTTCTGAATAAAGTCGAGTTCTCTTTTTCCACGGAGAAGTACACGTCTCTGGGCTACGGTCTTTTGGGGGAGGGGGTGGTGGGAGAGGTTCCGGACGAGGGGCCTAAGCTGGAGTCCAGCTTTCAACCCCAGCCGGGACCCTCTGCTCCGACTCGCAAGTGAAGAAACTGCGCCATCAGCCCTCGCTCGCTCACTAGCACCGGGAGCTCAGAGGGCAGGCGGTTGCCAAAACCTTGGTTCTTCCGTCTGGTTGCCCGGAGCCTCCCAGGGGAAGAAAATACCAGGAGGACAATGAAATGTAGGGTTAAATTCCCTGGCATCCCTTCAGTGAATAAACAGTCCCGCCCAGAGGAAAATTCTCGGATTTAAGAGTAATCTTTCCAGCACTTTCCCACCGAGGTCTGATTTTCTACAGCCAAGTAGAAAATATTTTCCCCATGTTCCGGAAGGCACAGGGGGGCCGAGAGAGAAGTGGCTTCTTCAGTCCCGGCCTGCAGGCCGAAAAGGCAACCCTGTGTCTCATCTTGGGCTCCGAACGCGCTGTCATTGATTTCAACCCAATCCACCTGCCTTTCGGGGTCACCCTGAGAAGGAGGGGTCAGGGAGACCGGGGTTTGAATCCGCGTGACCTTTGGTGACTTAGCTTCTTGCAGCCTGGGTTTGCCCACGGGTAGGACGAAGGCACCCGAGGGGGCTGCAGGCTGGAACATGCAGAGCAAACGTCTCCAGCGGCACAGACAGCTGCAGCGAGGAGGGTTTCTGTCCACACAGATGGCAGGGCTGGGCTCGGGGAAGGACACGTCTGGGGAAGCTGCCCGCTTTGAAAGTCGGGGAGGGGCCGAACCACATGGGTTGGCTCCAACCTCGGGCCTTTCTCCCCCTCTCAGGTTGAGGCCCTCGATCCTGATCCCTGACCCCGGGATGCCGAGCTCAGGCCTGCGAAAGGGCAGCAGGAAGCCAGGGGCTGGGACAAGTGGAGGTTAGTGGCTGGCTGGGAAGTCCCCCCACCCACGCCGCATTCCTGAGTGCTCCTGTCAGCAGGCCAGCTCCTCCTCCCCAAAGGCCGGTGGTGCCCCGTGAGGCTAGGCACCTGGCCTGGTAGGCCAATGCCCAGCGGGCCCTGCTCCGGGCCTCCTTACCCCGAGGGGGAGGTACCTAGGGTCCCACGGTGGAGGGTGGGCTCAGGGAGGCAGGAAGATAGCCCGGGAAGAACAGCTGCCCTGAAAATCCCTTCGACCCCTGGGGGGAACCTGCAGGAATGGGGTTGCCAGCATTTGGGTCCCCCCTTCGCTGGCTGACAGAAGGGGGAGCTTCTGCACGCACCAGCCCTGTGGGGTGGGGAGGGGGGGGGCCCTTGGGACCAAAGCTGCCACCGTGTCCCACCGGCTGGAGGAAGAGGAGACACTTGGTCCGGTGGGAGCCCGGACCCCAGTGTCAGCCTCTGGCAACGTGGGGTTTTTTTCCCCCATTATCTACACGTCACATCCCGTCTCCTAGGATACCCCTGCCCACGACCACTCGGCCCACCCCCAAGCACGAACACGGAGGCCGGGAAGACGAAGGGAAAAAAAAAACCTCACCCACAGGCAGAAGAGATTTCAATACAATCTATATTATCTCATATATAGATCTCTCACTTTATTTGCTCACTTCTGTCACGCATTTAAAATGTCAGAGACCAAAATAGAGCGGCTTTCTGGTGGAACTCATGGCAGTCATACACGAGATACAAAACTAGGGGACTCTGTCCTCTCATACATCATACAATTAATTTTTCAAGTATCTTTTATGTACAAAGAGCTACTCTATTGGGGGAAAAAATAAAAAACAAAAACAAAAACAAAAAAGACAGGTAGGTTATGCATCCTAGGAAGGAGGGGTGGAGTGGGCGGGCCCGCATTCCTAGGCCCTCATCTCCCCGGGGGGGCCGCTAGCTCCTTGCCGCGGAGTCCCCCTCCGTGTCCCTCCACGGACCATGCCAGCCGGCCAGTGCCAGGGCGGGCAGAGACCGAGGGGGCAGAGAGTCGGCAGGGAGTTTGGCCTGGAGGGAGAGTCAGAGAAACAGATTCGCGAAAGCAGAGGTGGGAGTGGGGGAGACTCTCCTCAGACAGCCCGCTCCCACTCGCTGCCTTCCTGGGCACTTTGGTCCCAGCGAGCCAGGCCCACCAGACAGGGCCCGAGAGCTGGCCTCCGGGACCCTTGCACGCAGGCCTCTGTGACCTGGGGGCCGGCTGGGTCACAAGGGCCAAAGGAAGCCTGGGAAGACGGCTGTCGTGGACCCCACCCCCACCCCCATCCCAGCAGACCCTTGGCACAGTTCATTCCAGTAACGAACGAAAAGGAAGAGACTCCAGGTGAAGTTCTGGTGCCACAGGCCAGGGCCCTCCTCACCCTGTCACCTTCTCCAGGCTGTTACAGCCCAAACCCCAGCGCCCTCTGGGTGTCAAAGGACAGAAGGCTCCGCCTGTACGATCGTTACATCGTTATCTGTCCAGAGGCTCTTCCGAAGAAAGACAGTGGCCTGCATAAGCCCTGCCTGCCTGGCGGGGCGGGGGGGGGGGGGGGGGGGGGGCAGGATCCGGCCCTAGGAGGCTCCAGGTGTATGGGCGTGGAGGTGAGCGAGGGGAGGGGACCGGTGATCCTGGCCACCCCTAAGGCCCGTGTCCGAGGGCGCGTGGCCCAGCACTGCAGGATCCTGAGCGCCAGTAGCTTGATAGGGCGCCCCCAGAGGCTGTCTGCGGCCAGACAGACTGAGGGCCTAGGAAGGGGGAGCTTTCGTATGTGACTAAGGCACAGAAGAGATGGGCCGAGGGGCCAGCCGAGGCAGGACACCAGGCCCTGTGTGGATACGGCGCCAGGAAGAGGAGTCTGGGGTCACCACTCCCACTTCCCAACTCCCTGCTGCATGCCCCATCCTTCCGTCCTCCCTCCCACAAGACCGTGTTCCTCCAGAAGCTGGTCTGAGATGTGGAAACTCAGACCCTTCCCCTGAGGTGGGAAGGAGAAGCCCTAGGGAGAGGCCAGGACCCTGTGGAGGTTCTCACTGCTCAGCCCGCGAAGGAGGGTTGGGAGCCGCCGACGCTTTGAGCAGCCGGGAAGCAAGGGCCCTGCCCAAAGTGCTCTCAAGAAGACAGACCCCAAGCGCTAGGGCAGTTGGGCTGCTGGCTGCCCTCAGCAGGCCAGGAGGAAGGGGCACGAGGCAGGCAGGAGGGGCCGCCACGGAGAGGACACCCAGGGGCCCAGAGACCCCTGCTTGGAGAGGTCTCGTCAACAGAGGAGGGGCCCAGATGCACCTGAGCGCCCTTCTGACGTGGGCCATGTGGCTCTTGGTGTCGCTCTGGTCCTTGCAGCATGCCAGGCAGGCCCTGGGTCAGGAGAGGCCACCGGGAGCATCTGGGTTCCCTCCTCCCCCTCCTGCCCGAGGTGAGGCTAATCTAGCAAGGACAGAGGGCACAGGGGAGGGAGCAGGCAGGAAAGAGCCCAGGTCAGATTATTGCACGGTGTTGGGGGCAGGGCTGGAAGTCTCGCGGGGGAGCGCGTGACCCGCGTCGGGGCTGAGAGGGCTGCGGCCGCCGGTCCACCATGGCCACATGGCAGGACGAGCCACGGGGGCACGGGAGTCGCTCCTCACATCCTCTGTCCCTCGCCCAGCAGCGCGGGGGTGGCCTTGTATAAATATTCCTGAAGGCTCGTCGTGAGCCTGGGCTGTCCCCTGGGCAGACAGCTTCTGGCTGTTCTTTTGGAAGCGACATGTGAGTGTTTCTGGTCCAATAAATTAACGGGCGACGCCAAAGCGGTGCCAGCCTGCCTCCCCGCCCGGGCGTGAGGCCGGAGGGGAGCACAGCCTGCCCTGAGCCGAGGCGCCAGTCCTCTCCACCAGCAGCAGCGCCTAGAACTCGTCGTCAGAGCTAAGCAGGAGAGTCTTCTCGTTGTCGCGGGCGCCACTGAGGCTGTGGGAGCGGGAGAGGCCGTGGGCGCCGCCGCGCCAGGCGGGCCCGGGCTCCAGGGTGGACTGCTGGGTGTACTGCTGGTAGGCCGGCGAGAAGTTGTGGATGGCGTCCTGCACAATGTCGTGCGGGTTCATGGTCTCCTTGAGGCTGCTAGAGATGCTCTTCATGGGGGCGCAGCGGCCTGCAGGGTGGGAGCCCAGAGGCAGGGGTGAGGGGCTGGGGCAGCAGGAGGCCCCTGGTCCGGGGACTGCCCCCCACCCCAAGGCTCTGTCACCCAACCCGCCCCCTCCTGCAGCAGAGAACGGGGTCCCGGACACAAGGAGGCACAGGCAAAGGAACGGCTCTCTGGCCAGGGCACAGAGTGGGCGCTGAGCTAAGCGGCCACCAGAGGCTCGTGAGCCCGGCTGGCGGGAAAGGACCCAGGGTGGAGAATGGCATCCGGCAGACGAGGAGCCTGGCGTGTCCCCGGGAGGCTGGCGTGCTGGGGGAGGGGCCCAGCTCCACTCTGGGACAGGCACCGGAGTCTGCCTGACCAGCTCTGTCAGGGCAGGCGGCCAGGGGCCCGGGCCCACAGAGGGGCTGACGTAAGTCTTCACCGGCTCCCCTCCGAGAGGGCGGAAGCCGCCAGCCCTGACGTGCTTCCTCCCGACTCCCTCTCTAATGAACGGTCCCCGTGGGTTAAGGGGGGAGAACTGGCCCAGGCCATAAAACCTAGAGGTAAGGGATAAGCCCGGGTCTCCAAATTCAAATTTGGCATGCTCTTTCCACCTTCATGTTCTCGGCCATAGATTTCCCATTCGCAAGCCCCCGGAACCCGGCAGGGCACATTCCGGAACAATGAGAGACCAGAGTGGAAGCAGGCAAACTCTACAGAGCGCAGCCCTTGGCAGGCAGGTGCTCTGACCTCTGCTGCCCGGGGGGTGCCTGTCGGGGAGACAGGGACACAGAGAAGGGGCTAGGGGGAGAGGCATGCTGGTGACAGTGACCAGGACTGACGTGCAGGACAGACGCGTAGACCGAGAGCAGAACCTACCGTAAGGGCCGTATGTTGGTACTGCCCGCGGCCAAACCCGGGGCAAAAGCAGGGCGGAGAGGGGAGGGGAGGGGGAGAGAAGCCAGAGAAATAGAGAAGACAAGAGACACGGCTGAGTCACACCGTCTGCCCACCACCGAGGCCGGCACACCGAACCATGCGCCCGTCCCGCCTCCCCGCCAGGCCCCACCTAGCACCCGGGCAGCCCCGGCTGCCCCCTGGAGCCTGGCACCTGGCACCTGGCAGGGCATGTCTCCCAGGGATGACTCCTCCCACAGGGCTCACACTTCCGGTGGGGGGTGGCGGGGGGGGGTGCTTACTTGTGCAGAGCCCGCAGGCGAGGTGGCTTTGGACCCAAGTCTGATTGGAGGGCTGAGGGGTTAGCGTGTGGGCAACAGGCCCGAGCCCAGCACAGAGGTGGGGTCCTGCCTTTCCCCGGTAGGGCTGGCCTGGGGTCTTTGCTAGAGCCGGATTTCTAGCCACGCTCCTTTTCGCTGGGGTGGATGTCTGGGAGCAGTGGGTGGGAAGAGGGCCACGGCAGAGCCACCACGTGGGCCTTTTTAAACCTCAAGGGTCCAGAAAGGGTTCTCTGCTATGGCCCCAGGGTCCAGGCACAATGCTGACTTTCCTAAGGGCACAGGCTCTTTCGGGACCAAGTCCAAGGGACATGGCTCTCAACACTGGGAGGGTGTTTACCAGGTCCTTCCAGTGGGGGGCCCAGTGGGAAGCGGGTGGGACACCAGCTGGCAGCAGTGGGGCATGGCCAGCACAGCGCCTGGCACCGAGCAGGGGTGCCTACAGCCCTCGGCCGGCAAGCGTGCTGGGAGAACACGGTCGGGCACATAAGAGTTGAGCGACCCGGTGTGCGGTTCAGTCCACAGGCATCTAGCGGGTCTCTCTCCAGCCAGGAAGAAGGGGAGGGGGCCGAGGGGCTCTGCTGCCGCCCTCCCCACCCCCACTCCCGGGGCCTGTGGTGGGCCTGGGCGCTAGGCCTGGGGAAGTGGGGTTCTCTCCTCCAGCCACATGGAAGGGAGCCGCCCAGCAGCCCAACCTCCGGGTGGACGTGTTAGACCAGGAGCTTCCCCTCCCCAGACCCACAGAAGTCATTTCAGGTGAGCCCGGCCTCCTCTTCCCACCCGCCTTGGCCATCCCCCCTCCGCCCAGCGGCAGCCAGAGGCAGGTCCCCTGACCCCAGGCCCCAGGGAGCTTGGGAAGCACCCCCTACCGCCAGGCCCAGACCACTTATTATCGCAGGATCTCGGAGGGTGGGCTCACACATGGGATTCTGAAAGGGTCTCCGGGGCATTCTAATGTACAACGGCGGGTGCCAACCTCTTCTAACATAAAGAGGAAGATGGGCAGGTGTAAAAAGAAAGCTGTTAAAATCGATTATCATCTGAGCGTGTTTCTTAGAAGTAAACCGGGCTAAAAAGAACTTTAGAGAGGAGGCAATTACAGCACAGAACGCAAAGCCGTGTTTGGCGTGAGGAACCCCGAGGAACTTGTCTATTCTAGGGTCTCCACCCTGGCCTTCCCGTGGGGATATTGTGCTGTAGCATCTCGGGGGTCTCCATACTCCAGGCCTGCTGCAAGAGACAGGTGGGTCTCCAGCTTCCAGGACGTCCCTGCGACCTTGTGTTGGGGGTGGGGGTGGGGGGGGGGGGGGGAGAGCCCCGACCTGTGTCCCCTCTCCCACAAGTAAGCTGGAGACGCCTGACCTGTCACCACCTGTCAGACACTGGGGGGCAGGAGGGGCCCTGGGGCGGGGCCGGGGAAGGCTTCTCCCGCTGGGGAGTCATCTCCAGGACCCTGGCTCATACCTTGCGCATCC